CTTGCAAAATTTTTCAGTTGACTATACATACTGTCTCATAACCACATTCTGGTAGGCTACACCTTCCCAAGTTACCTTGGAGAAATACCAACAAGTCGGCTTCAAAAGGGAAAAGCATGCTCATGTTTTCTACTATCAAAAAGTTTTCTAACGTTGGGTAGTAAAAGCTTTGGAAATTATTCGATGCAACCACGTGGCTGCGTCTAACACGTTTGACAATGGCCCTTTCGCAAATAGTGGCAGACAATCAATATCATAATTACAATATGCTCATTAGCAGCTGGGCTGGTATCTTGTCTAAGTTGTGGCTATAAAGCTCACGAAGAAAGGCTAAGTGAAGAAATGCAGCATTCATTCCGCACCAAGAAAAGTGCCGAATCAACATATTCCTATTCCCTCTATCATACAGTTTGTCTTAGCTTATTCCACTTTAGAAGCGAAAAGACATAAAAAAAAACTTTAAATAGACAGAGCCAACCTGTCGAGAAACACATCGTCAAGTATTGTTTTTCAGTTCGACTCGTTCTTACAATGAAACAAAGTTACGCGAACCTAACTCTTCTGTCACTTATGGCGTGTCTTATTTGTGTAGCTATAGCAGCACCTCCACCTCCACCTCCACCTCCATCTGGGCCTACACCTCCATCGGCACCTACGACGTAAGTATCACGAAAAGGAAGCTTCAATCTAAAGTTATCACGCTTGTATACAGGAACTCCGAGTCAGGAAGTGCAGACGGATACATCTCACAATCTTCTGGAGCCTTAGCTGCTGGTGTTGCACAACAGGGTTCTAGTACAGGTGATGCAGGAAACTATCAATTTGCAGACGGAGAATCGACTCTTGCACTTCCTTACTGGAAAGGTGTCACCTCTCTCAATGAAATGAGTGAAGGAAGTACTGGCAACCTTGAAGTTCCAACAGTATATCCAGCAGTCCCATATATCCCCACTTACCTTTATGAGCCTTATGCCTAAGGGTATTCTCAGAGGTGTGTTTGTTTCCAAGAGGAAACTTACTTGTTGAAGTCGAATAAACTTGTTTGTGGTTCTTCTCGAAAAACAAAGTTTGTATTTTTTTCTGAACAAGAAGAAGAAAGAATGTCGGCACAAGTCATCAAAATAAAGGCTACTTTCTCCAAGCCTTTGAACGTTGGGAATAACTTAAACCAAACAAAAGAAACAGTTTCAAACAACAAACTGTGTGGGAAAAATGCATATGTTGATGGAAGCCAAACTTTTTTCTTCCAACGCATCTGTTTGTAGACTCAACAATTTTCCAAAGTGGAAAAGAAGTATGTCTCTTCTCAGATACGAATAGATTGAACGACAGGACCTCCATAGAGTTCGGTGGTTTGCTTGTGAGCGAGAAGGGAATCGAAGCAGCGAGAATGTCTTTATCCAAAAGCCTTCTAATGAACTTGCAGGTCAATAATTCAGCTACTCTCAGGAATTACGTTAGAAGTTATCTTCAAACTTTGGATAAAAGGCATGACGTTTAAACGAATCGTTTGTTTCTTCAAAACTTTGTATGCAATGATCGTTTTTCCCAGAAACTTATTAAAATACTAGTCAAATGGACAGATTGAGACAATCCCTGAAATTTTATTTACAATTATACAATCCTTGTTAGTATTCTAAGGTATGAAATACAAATGAGTATCATCCACTTCAAAATAATGAAAGTAGTCTTTGGAGAGCAAGGAAAACGTTTCATGTGAGATTTGCCGATTCTTCGATAACCTTAGTGTTTCAATTTCTTTTCCTTAGTGACTTCTCTGTTACGAAACAATGAGAGAGACAATAGATAAAGAAACATGGGAATTTTCACTGAAGAGACAAAATTGACTTCTTTTCTAAGTGGTTTAAACTATTCCTTTGCTCAAGAAGGGTAATATGATATGTGTTTGTATAGAGCTGAAGAAATTGAACCAAAAGTTACATTTTAAAAGACAGTCAGTTCTTGATTGTTTGCGCTACGAATGATACCAAAACACGCAACTTTGCAAGTTGCTTCATTTCCAATGTAGCGTTCTTTTACAAGAAGAGAAATCATACTGTCATGAGAGTTCTTTGTTGCAACGTTCTTTCAAGTTGCTCCATACTAGCTCTGAAAGAGTGACAAGTAGATCACTTGTCGATATTGTAAGGAGGTGACCTTTTTCTTGGAAATATATATATATATATATATATAAATTGCTTTACATATATCAACAGGGATATTATCCAAAGAGCATCGTCCCCAAACCTCGCTTCCAAGACTCAGCTGTCTGATGCCTACTTATAGCCTCAGGGTTGCACAACCTTCCCACCGCCATAAGTAAGTGTTCTTTCTTCCTAAATGCTGCACATCCCTCCGTAGACTGGGATTTTTCCTGTATAGCTTCCAAGCCGGCTCTTGGTCGATCTTCCTTTGCTTGACCGTCGATCCTACAGAGAGTCACATTGCAACCAGAGAAAGAGGGAACACCCTCTTAGGACTGGTTATATAAAGCTATTCAACGACTACTTGATTTATTTTTTATGGATGCAGATTGCTCTTGATGCTTAAAGTTTGAAATAGTGTTCTGATTCAGGTATGTAGAGAAGGCTGTTAATACGTTGGCACAGGAACTTTGGAATATCATTCAGAGTGAACTATAGGAAGACATATATATATACAGAATACAACAATATCAGTCCGACTCGATCTGATAGTTGTCGACTTCAAGAATTTCTGTACTCCAACATTGGACAAGCATTTCTAAGACGTGGAGTGATATGAACTTGATTCCGAGGTCGAATTGTTTTGTGTACTATAAAATAAGTTTATCTTAGAGATATGGAGCTTGCTTCGCTAATAAACTAGGCGAATGTTAAACGTGTGAAGCTTAAAGTATATTTAAAACATTTTTTTATAAACTATATATTGTTCATTCTTCACATGCATCTCGTCTTTTCAATATTTCACTCAAGTTGAAAGTCCTACAATAATTTTACTCAGCTTGGAAGATATCGAAGAACGAGCCAACTAATTTTATTGCTTTTTTCTGAGCATGTTGTCCGATCATGCTAGGCCATCATGCGCCAATGCTTATCTCCATAAGCTTAGAATTTGTGATATGCATTTTGCAACTGTCTGCCATTAGTTGGACAAAGACAAAACGTGCAGGTTCCAAGATACTTCGAGCTATTGATTCTTTCAGAATGTGATGAGGAACAGTTGTTTCGTAGAAAAAATGTCGAATTTATTGAGATATGCGTATTAGGCTTCAAAAATCAGAGTTAAAAATGTTGAGATCCCAATACTTCAAGGAACACACTATATAATTGAAGTTAAGGCAATTCTTATCCATTGCTAAGAATATCCTGCTTCTGTCACATCTTTCGAGTTTCTATTTTTTGGATGGAGTGTCTTTTTCAAATTGAAACAGATGCACTTTCATGCATCAAGCATCGCAGCAATTTTTCCCTTTCCTTTTCTAACACTGTACAGGAGACCAGCAAAATGAAAAATAGTGCGGTCATCAATCTTTCGACAAAATGAATTTTAAAATAGATCATAGTTTTAACTCCATCAGTCTCGAATGTTTGAAAAAACAATGCTATAAAGGTAACCATAGAAAAAA